CGTCCGGCATACTTGCGTCGAATCCCGACATCGCGCACGATCAAAGTCCGATCGCACGTGTCAAAAACCTCGTACTTGAATAGTTTCGTTTGGAACGTAAAAACTCATATTTCGTCATATCCCAACACCTGTTCCAATCTTGCAATCTCTGCCGCAATCTTATCCATACATGACTGATATTCGTCTGTCTCTCTTTCTGACTCCACTTCGCTCTCGTCCACTCCACTGCTTCGTGGGTAATCGTCATCCGAGAGCCTGACATGATCAAGACAAAGGCGCGCCTCCATCTTCTCCTCGGAGCATCGGAATCCATTTCGCTTGCCATGGAAGACAGATTCCCCATTCATATCTAAATGTGCAGATTCAACTCGTAGAAGCCATTGTGGTTCTGCTCTGCTCACTTTGTGTTCGTCCTTGTGTTCTCAACAACGCCGGGTTGCCTTTCCACAGACTAAGAGATCGTGTTCTGTCTCCACTGTTGGCCCGATGAAGTTGGCTCTGCAGTGAGTATTGTCCAGATGGATGAGATCTTCGATCGCTGGCTCTGTCCCGTCCCAGATTTCTTCGGGATCCTCTTCTTCTCCTTCAGTGTCTGGTGGTGCTTCTCCCGGGTTTTGTGTCGGTTCCCTATCAGAGAGGCCAGCATCAAAGTCTGAATCGATTTTGCTATCATGAGTGCTTCGGAAATCGCTCATTTCAGTTTGAATTTCCTCCACGACTCGTGGCACGCCAGCCACGGATGAACGGCTTCTGGTTGAGTAGGAATGAGAGTGTCCGGAGGTCACGCTGCCTCTCTGTCGGCGCAGGTACTTGATAGGTCCGAATTGACTGTTTCTACTGGGGGTCTACGAGCCCGCCCATTTGGCGATAACGCATTGAGAAGACGTCCAAAATCCATGATTTTTGCAAACTCCTGATTCCTATTATTGATTCCTTATATGGATCACTATCCCCCCAGGCGAGTTAAAATTTTCTACGCTATGTTGGGGTCCGATAGTGTTCAATCGCAAGGTTCAATCTGGATCGAGTTGTGGGTTTCTTGCCAAAACTCTCAATTCTTTCCAGTTTGTTGCTTACGTGTTCACATCTTCTCCAAGTTCAGTATCAGGTACTTCTTCTCACGTCTGGTAGCTACGCGTCAGATCTTCAAGTTCTTTTGCTGGCTACCGGAATTCGGAATTCTTCTTCTTCTTCACTTTCGCAACCTTTCTATACGGTCGGCTGGGTAGAGTCCAGCTTTATTTTTCATTGTATTAGACAAATCCACTAAGTAAAATTCTCCGATTTCAATCCTTTTCGCGCCATTTGAAAGTCTTACACAAGCTTTTGGTATATACCGGTAGTCGTCGCAAAGTCAAGGATGAAGCGGACCAGAATGGTTTATTTGGTGATGATTAGTTTTGGAATTTGTTAAAGTAGGTCAAGTAATAGTCTAGGTTAGATTTTAGCTAAACAACGCTTCTACTCTGCCATATAAACGGGACCATGCTCGTTGGTATGCTTGCCAGTTACCATTGGCCGACTCATAACAGCAGACGCTAGCTTGTAAGCCAAGGTAAAACGAATATCCTCGCCAAGTGCTTTTCCATTCGCCGGCCGGAGGGTTTCGGCTAATTGTTGTCACTGACTGTGGGCAGAGGTATTTCTCCTGTCGCTTGTGTGATGTTTTGTTGCAGTTGGTCCATTTCAAAGTCAAAATTCTGAACTTCGGATAATCCAGTATGAAGTCGTGAAGAGGCACACACACTCTGATAATCTCCATGCACTTTTCAAGGCGAAAGTGAAGGGCCCTTCATAAACCCCCCCATCTCATCACCAACTCTCCAAAGGCACATTCGACGTAGATCCGACATGACGAGAGATAAAGTTGGAAGCATCCTTCATATCAAGAGCATCATCTTTCATCTCTTCTTTGTCATAAGCTGTCA